ACCTGCATTAGGATTTAACTCACTTGGACTTAAAGATTGCCCTCTGTTGAAATGTAAATCTCCACTTTTCCCTGAAAGAGTCAGTCCATCACACTTTAGTATGAATTAATGGATTGGTGGGACTGGGACAGAGCAGAACAGAGAAGGGCCTCAGCTGACAAAGAAAGCTGAGGGCCTGTCCCTGGGGTTGCAAGGGGACTCCCTGAAGGACGGTGCCAGGCAGAGGCTGCAGGAGGGAGCCTTCCTGACCCCACAGTGGGACAGCAGAGTGTGAGCTTGGCAGGTTTTGGCCAGTGTGGACAGTGTGGAAGCCAGGAGTGGGTGGGGGCACGAAAAGGGGGTTCTGTACCTGCCTCTGGCCCTGGCTACCGGCCTGCAGCCAACCTCCCGCCTGCCAGGGGGCTTCCCTCTAGGGGTTGGAAGAAGGCAGTGCCCTTGGTCAAGGGGTGGAGGAGACTGCAGGGGTCCCCCTGCTCCCCTGCGGCCCTGGGCCATCCTCTCCTGGCCCAGCCCTCCAGCCCTCCCTCTAGGCCTCCTCCCTCCCCCTTGCCACAACCCTTCACTTGGGGCAGGCAGATAAAAGGCAGGAGCCCTGTTATCTGGATTTCAGATTCTCAACAAACAATGTTTTCGTGGTAGGTAGAGTTCTTTGTTGCGAATCTGAAATTCAAATCGCATCTGGCAACCCTCCCTGTCCTTCTCAGGGACACAGTGGCGGAGGGGATGCAGGGGAGGGCTCGGCAATGAGGAGACACCCAGCTCCGTGGAAAGGACTGAGTGGTTGGGTGGGGGGGCTGGAGGGGTGTCGGCCGGTGGCCTGGACCCCTGATGTGCTCCCTGGAGTACCCTGCGTGGGGCTGAAGTGAACAAGCTTAAGACGTGCAGGCCAGGCCAGTGGTGATCCTGCTGCCCTGGGCCTTTCTGTCCCCACTGCACAGATGAGGGAACCCGGGCTGGGGGTGGGGGTAACACAACTCCTCCCCTCCACCTCCAGTAGGGGCTGCACGTACTCCCAGGGCTGAGTGTCACGGGTCCAGTGACGGACCGTGGCCCTGGGGGAAATACTGGTACCCATCAATTGTTGGCAAAGACTTTCTCTTTCAGGAACCAATGATTGTAAGCCGGAGACTACCCTGGCTGTGCCCTGTGAGTCTGGGGGCCTGTGGATTGTGGGATCATGAGGTATGTGTGGTCAAATTCACTGTGACTCCCCAGAGCCCGTGTGGCACTGCAGACACCGGGCCAGGTGGCCTGGGAACCCCCCGCCCCCGTCCCATCGGCTTTCTCCATACAGCCCTTTCAGAAGCAGCCTTGCGTGGCGCTGGCTGTCCGAGGCCACGTGGCAGTAATGAGACTACGAATGCTGTGGGCAGCGGACCGGGGTGTGCCCCGAGGGCCCCCTGCATGGACCCATTTACCCTCACAGTGCGCGTGCATGGTGTCCTGGATTCGGGAAGGACATCCGCTGCAGAAGCCTGACGCGAAGGGGTGTGCGGGCTGCAAACTGATTCATTATGTGTTCTCTTAACCTTATGTGTGTCTGCTTTCAACAAGCATTTATGAGGTGTGCCAGGCACGGTGGCAGTCCCGGGTACACAGAGGGGACAACACAGGCCTGATCCCGCGGTCTCCACGGAGTTCGTCCGAGAACAGCGGCTTCCCCAGAGTTTTGTTTTTCGTTCCCTTTTGAGGTTGTTGTAGATTCACACGCAACTGTAGAAACAACAGAGAGATCGCACGTGCCCTTCAGCCAGTTTCTGCGTGGGCGCCGCGCAGAGCGGCCGGGCGGGGCCACACCAGCACATGGGCATCACCGCAATCCAGACTCCCGGGTCAGCTGCACTCGCGTGCGTGTGAGTGTGCAACGGCACGTGGGGGGTGAGGCTAGTTTCTGTTATTGTGGTCAAATACACATAAAATGGGTCCTTTCACCCATTTCTAAGTGTGCGGCTTGGTGACGCCAAGCACACTCGTGCTGTGCACACGTCACCGCCATCCAGCTGCACTTCTTCATTTTCCCGAACTGAAGTCCGTCACCCGCTAAACGTTCCGCCCTTTGAGATCGTGCCACCTGTGCAGATTCGTGTGCTCACAGCTGAGGCAAGACAGCTGTCACCGGGGCCCCGTGCCAGCCCCGAGCACCGGCGGCCCGGCCCCACCTCCACGGGGCTTCCGGAGCGCCGTCGAAGTGCAACCCTGCACGTGGCCCCGGGTGGGGGGCGCAGCGTCCAGGTCGCCTGTCCGTGTCGCTGAGCAGAACTCTCCACTCGGCAGTCTTCGATCACGGGCCCCAACCCGCACACGTGTGTTTACCTGAACCAACGCCCGCCCGGCATCTGGGCCCTCACGCCTCTGGGCGCTGCGCTGGCCCGCCCGTGACACGCGGCCCAGACCAAAGACATGTCTGTTGTCAAGGAAGCTACGTGCGGGCAGGAGTGGCCGCACAGCGCCAGGCGGCCACACGAGCGGAGACGCGCTGGCAAGGCCCACGGTGTGGAAGGGCTGGCTTTGGTCGGGTGGATGGGAAGGCCTCCCCGGCCTCGTGGAGGACGTTTACCTGGGGAAGGGCACTGGGATCCCGGGGAGCAGCGCAATAACCAGCATCCTCGGTGTTCTCAGTGTGGCCCAGCCAGGGGAGGATGGGGGCTTTGCTCCGAGGGACAGGGTGGCCCAGTGGGGGTGGAGGGAGGATCTGTGATGTGCGGGGAAGAGGAAGGAACCCAGGCACCTTATGAAACATACAAAACGTCAGAATTAAGATGGGCACTCTACTGGTGTAACTGGCACCCCCCACATTCACATACACTGGAACCTCGGGATAGGACTGTATTTGGAAATAGGGTCTTTGCAGATGGAATTACAGATCTCAAAATGAGGTCATCCTGGCTTAGCGTGGGCCTTAAGTCCAATGACTGGTGTCCTTTCAAAATGAGGGGACACAGAGGAGGAGCCACGGGACCACGGAGGCAGACCAGACGGATCCTGGCCTGGGACCACCGGAAGCCAGGAGGATTTGACCCTAGGCCTCCAGAGCTGGGACACAATGAGATTCTGTTGTTTTAAGCCCCCAGTGTGTGGCCTTCATCATGGCAACCTGAGTACACAAACACAGATTTGATAAAACTCCACTCTAAAGCCGATCACTAACTCCGCCCACGGTGCCCCCAGCCCGTTCCCGAGATGGCGCCAAAGAGATCAGCGTCTCAAGGCACCTGGACGGAGAAGGCCTGCGGAGGGCTCATTCTGCGCCTAAGCGACACACCAGTGCGCATTCCCTCCCACAAGCACTCCACATTCCTGGCGAGAAGCAGCCAGCTGTGGCTCAGACCCGTGGATAGGCGCTGTGGGTGGCTTGTTTTTGCCTCAGTGGCGCCCGTTGCCCGCCAGCACGCCAGCTGGGGCTTGGTCACATGCAGGGCACTGGTGGGGTCGAGGGGGCCCAGTCCCCACATTCTGCAGGTCAGCCCAGGCTGACGGCAGGGACGGACCCCAACTCTCACAAGACATGGCAGGCCGGGCAGCAGAGGCGCTGGTAAATATTTCTGGAATGAACAAAGGAGCAGTGTCTGATGTGTACACGTTAAGTTTCTTTCAGTAAAAAGTGCGTGGTTGGCGGGAAGACTGAGCGGCAGAGGCCCAGGTGCTGCCCCTCCTCCCATCCCAGCCCCATCAGGGCCACTGCTTCCAGGTGCTGGGGTCCTCCGCAGTCACATAACCGTGTCGTCTGGCCTTCTGCTTGCTGCCGTATTGACACGTGCTTTCCGCATTCGGTTTCCAGCTCAGGGTGGGCGGCGCGCCCGTTTTCCCAGGGCTTGACTGCACCGGGAAACAGGGGTGTCCATCTGCTCCTACCAGGAGCCCTACCAGCACGCTAGGAAAGGCACAAGGAGGGGCTGAGCCTCTACAAAGACAAAGGGAGGCCAGCAGGGCAGGGCCAATCTCTAGGGTGGGGTGGGGACAGGGCTGAGGGCAGGGCTGGTAAAGGCCCCCCAGGCACCCCCTGCACCCTCAGGAGCTGTGCAGGAGCCTGGAGGCTTGTTCTCTGGAGCAAGTGGATGCAGGAGCTCTGGAAATGGGGGTGCCAGGCCTTAGGGCTAAAAATGGGGGAATGTGGGAAATGCTCCATCCTGCAGCTCAGGCCCCCATCCTCAGACCTGCTTCCAGAAAGGCCATGAGGAACCAGGTGACAGCCGCCTTGACAGGGAGGTAAAGCAAGGGGGAGACACTGGGGGGAAGCCTGCACGGGCCACGTGGGCATGGGAGACTGGAGGGCACAGGGGAGGAAATGCCCACCAGAGCTGGAGTGTCTGCAAGATGGAACCGATAGGGAGGGACAGACGTTGGGACAGAAACAAATATCCAGGGGTGGAGAGAAAACGAGGCAAGTAGACCAGGGTAGAGGTCAGCTCCAAGAAAGGCGAGGGGCTGGACACCTGCTCTGCCAGCCTGACGTGTGGGTCCCTGATGACCGGCGTGGTGGCGAGAGAGCGGAGTCCCTGATCCACGGGGTGGTGTCAACAGGTGGTGCCCCAAACTGATGCATGAAGGGCTGAACAGCGTGGAGGCCCGGGTGGCACCTGGGGACACGGCTGGAAGCAGTGGCCCTGATGGGGCTGGGATGGGAGGAGGGGCAGCACCTGGGCCTCCGCCGCTCAGTCTTCCCGCCAACCACGCACTTTTTACTGAAAGAAACTTAACGTGTACACATCAGACACTGCTCCTTTGTTCATTCCAGAAATATTTACCAGCGCCTCTGCTGGGTCAGGTCCTGAGGCTGCCGGGGGCACAGGCGAATGCAGGACAGACGCAGGGAGGCCCCCGGTGTCGCCCCTGCACGCAGCACCAGCCACTGGCGCGGGCCCAGCCGGAGATGAAAGGCCACAATAATTAACACGGTTCTATGGAATCCTTTGTGGTGGCCCCAGAGAGAGCAAAGAGATTGCAAAACCCATCTCTGGTTTCCAAAACACAAGGACCTTGGAAATTATAAGACATTAAAATAAAGCTTCAGGCAAAGGACTCTTGTTCTAGTTGCAGATTTGACGGTAGATCAAAACAGAATTGCTCCCGAAAGCTCAGGCTCAAGCTTATTGTCTGAGGCAGGCCCAGCCCCCAGCACCCCGGCAGCCAGCGGCTAGGGCCCCAGGGCGAATCCACAAAGGGCCCAGGGCCCCTTCCCCTGATCACCCCTGGTCCCCAACCACTTCATCCCTTAAGGGCCCCTGGGGACATGTCCGAAGCCTCAGACTTTATGTGGGGGCACAAGTCTGTGCCCTCAGTTAATAAGCCGCAGCTGCTGGGAGTCAGAAAGTGCGCGGCCCCGGGTCGGATATTGGGTGCATTCAGTCGTGAAGCAAACAACAGGGGAGGCGTCGCCCCTACTGCATTTCTCCGACGGGGGCATTTGAGAAGAGCCTTGTGGCTGTGAACGCTACCTGTCCCCACACCCTCATGTCCCCTCCGTAGGACGGGACCATGGCTAGCTCTGGAGGTGACAGTGTCAGGGATCCTGAGTCTATGCCTCCTGCTTGAGGTCCCATGTGCAGGTTCGGATTTGGCTCACCCAAGTCGGGTGGCTCAGCCGCATCTGATGGCTGTGGGGTCCTTGCCCATCAGGAGCGCTAATGAAGGGTGGGGAGCCCAGCTCAGCCTGTTAGTACACTCGCGGGTGCGGGAGGCCCTGGGGAGCAGACCGCCAAGAGGCACGCACGTCCAAGGTCCTGGCCCGAGGTCCTGGCCCGGGTGCTGGGGGGTGAGCTCCAGGGACGGCAGAAGGCAAAGCAGCAACACCGCCAATTCTTTCAGGCTACTTTCTCATCTCCGCCCAGAGCCGGTGACGTTCCGAGTCGGTCATCCTCGGGGGGCAGCCTGGCCGCTACCACCTGAGCTCAGGGGCCACGTGCCGGCCGTGGAGCTCCTGCAGGCGCAGCAGCAGCTCCTCCAAGTTCTCCCGGGTTGTGGCCGACAGGGCGACGACGCTCCGGCCCAGGTGGGCCCGCAGCTGGGGCAGAGCGGCTCTGGCCTGAGGGAGGTCGATCTTATTCGCCACGACCAAATGGGGTCGCTCGGACAGGCCGGCTTCGTACTTCTCCAGCTCGAACTTCAGGTCCTCCACCTGAGTCCACGGTTCCGGCTCCGAAAGATCCACGACGAACAAGAGGAAACGGCAGCGTTCGATGTGCCTGAGGAAGGTGCTCCCCAGGCCCCGGTTCTGGTGCGCACCCCGGATGATGCCTGGGATGTCGGCCACTGCAGGGGAGACAGAGCGGAGGGGCTGGGAGGGCAGGCCTGGCTCCCTGTGGGCCCCGAGTGCCGAGCTTCGAGGCTCGCAAGGAGCACCTTGAAAGGGACGCCGTCAGGCCACCCGCCAGCCCAGGCACTTCTGCCCTCAGCTTGGCAGAGGCTCTGAAGAATGTGGGTGACAGGCTTGCTGGCCGGCCGGCCTAATAAGGAATATTTAACACAGGCTGGCCTCTGGCTTTAAAAATGGTTCAGGAAAGGGGAAAGTGGTTTCCTGTAAACTTAAGAACTGGATTACTGATGGAAATTATTACAGAGTACTTTGCAAATATAAAGCGCTATGAGAGTAGCATCAGCAGCAGGCTTACTATTTTTAATGGGTACATTATCTTCTGGGAAAAAGTTTTCTTCTCTCAAAATGGTACAGGGAAGCTTTTCAAGTCACATGTCATCTCCAGGACGGAGGCCGGGAGCGGGAGAAGACCAGAGGAGGCAGGACCTCCTCTGGTTTGAAACTGACACATCGGTTCCTGAACCCAGCCAAGAGAGGCCTGGGGATGGGGTGGGAAGCGAGTCTAGAACCTAATTTTCATACAGAACTACAACGCTCCATCTTGGGTGGGAAGCTCTTCAACAGTTACATAATTCCTATTCTGACGCCATCTCAGGCCAACTTTGGAGAGAATCATGCAAGTTCTACCTGCTATTTGCTGGTGGTCCTCACAGTGAACAATCCCCACGTGGGGCTTTAAGGTGGTGAACGGGTAGGAAGCCACAGCAGGTCTCGCGTTCGAAATGGCCCGGAGAAGCGAGGACTTCCCTGCATTGGGGAACCCAACCTGGAGGAAAGGTAAACACACCTTGCCACCTCGGAGCGCCTGGGCCTGGCCGAGGTCAGGGAGCAGGGACGCATGAGAGCGCGGGCTCCTAAGTGCACACACAGGGGCCTCCCTGGGAGGAACGGGGCCGCCAAGCTGTGGCTCACATCCAGGCTGGAGGCACACTTCGGCATCAGGGCCGGATTTTCTATAGCTCTGCCCTAAAAATGCCACCTCCTTCCTCCCCCCGCCAGATGATACCCACCATCCCAGCGTGGGCCACCGTCTTGAGCTCCAGGAAGAGGATGCGTTCCTGACCGGGCTGTCCGGGGGTGCAAGTCACGGGTGCACGGTTATCATTGGCCAGGAAAAAGCGGTTACCTTTTCCTCCTGCCCCGCCCAGAGCAGCGATGTACTCACTGCCCGGGCACGATAGGTCAGCCACGACTTCCCTTCCCTCCTTCACTAATGTGCCCACGGGAACCTGAAAATAATAAAGGGCTTACAGCAGAGCAGACACGTGGAGTGGAGTGGAGTGGAGTGGACCCAGAGCTTATATCCGCATTTGGAAGGGCACGGAGCAGAGGGGAGGGGGCACCACCAGGCTCCCCCTTCGTAGAGCTACGAAGCACCAGGAAAAAGGTCCTGGCCTTCAGAAGGACTTTATGGGGCTGTGACACTCCCTGCAAACTGCATAAATGGCTTTTCCAAATAGTGTTTCTCAAACATTAGGGTGGATGAAAGCATTTGGAAAACACTTGGGATAGTCTGAGAGGAGTAGAGTCTCCACTCCCAGAGATGCCCTGGGAGGGCTAGGACAGAGGAACAGTGGGCCCCTGGGGTCCCACTTTTTAAATACAATTATTTCATGATTTTTGAACAGGTCATACACGTACGCAGGATAAAATGAGCACCAAGTGTCACCCCGGGGCTTTGCTTCACGGAGGGCGGATGCGTGGCCAAGCCGGGCCCCCCCCCCCCCCCCCCGCGAAGCAGGCAGGGGTGGGCTCTGCAGCCGTCAGCTCACCCGGATGTAGAGGAGGGCGCCACCGCGCCCGGAGCAGTTCTTCCTGCCGCCGGCCTCTCCGTGGGAACCCTGGTACCGCGACAGCACCGAGGACAGCGACTTGACTTGCTGGTCAGCTGCGAGTTAGAGCAAGGACCTTCACCCTCCTTGGGTGAAAAGCAGAACTGTCTGTGCGCTGTCCGTTTAAGGACATGGGGAACGCACAGGGAAACGTGGCGTGAAGTCACGGCACAAGTGACCCAACTGGCAATGTGATTTTTTAGAAAGCGAAGTTCTCATTTTCTTTAAGAAAATACAATTTCTGAAAAAGTCAAACCCACAATGCCATCACCAATGTAACAACAGTTCTACTTTATCGTGTTGTGACTGTTGACTACGTTTGCCGGTTTACCTAGCACTCGCACCCCAAGTGTTCAATGTGATCAACAGCCTCCCAGGGTGCATGGGGAGAGCAACACGGACCCTGCCCTTTGCACACCGGCCTAGAACGCTAGAGTCCCTGGGCGTAAACGAGCTTTGTGTTCCTGAAATTTAACAAAACCCACCAATGAAGTTGGTTTAGGGGCGTTATTTAAATGTGAACATCCGTATAATTTAATAAAAATGATGTCCATCCATCGGTTTTTGAATTCAAATTCCCATGAGGATGAGAAGAGGGAAAGTCCCGCCCCAAAGGCGAGCAGACAAGCGCTCCTCCCCCAGCTGCCCCTTGCAACACATGCCTCTCAGGACGACGTGGCCACCGGTGCCTCCGTCACCACCGTCTGGGCCTCCGAACTCCTTCCGGGGCTCACTGTGGAAGCAGCTCACCCCGTCGCCTCCACGGCCCCCGCGGACGAGCACTCGGCGATGGTCCACAAAATGTCTCTTCTGCAGAGAGCACAGCGAGCCCGGTCATTACCCACCTGCAGTCCTTTCAGGGACCAAGCAGCCATGTGAAATGTACCTTTTGTATCTAGTGATATTAAATTGCTAATCTCACCTACAGCTGTAAGAAAGAGTACCCACAAGTCACTAATATTTGTAGGCAAACGTCAGTCAACAACCTGGAAGTGAAAAGTGGTCAGTGTGGAACACACGCTTGGATAAGAAAGGCAACCTAAAGAAAACAGGAGCTGTTCAGTAAACGCTCCTTAAATAAAGCATCTTTCCATCTTTTCTCAAATAGAAACACGTTACTGAAACACCAGGTCTTTGCTCCTGGAAAGACACAATAATGAATGGGAGTCCTCAGTGGGCTATGAGGCTTCTGACTCAGGAAGTGACCGAAGAGGGCCGTGTTCACCACAGCAATGCAGACAGACCCCTGGTCTCAGAGGAAGTTTCTCTCTGGGCCCCTCAGGGAGGCATACGGTAGCTACAGAATGAGGACTGACTAACTAGGTTCACATTTAATAAACTGAGCTCATCCTACAAGGTCAGCTCTCTAAGGCGCTGGGGTTTCAGGGGCCGGGGTGCGACCGCTAGCGAGGAGCCCACCCGCCTGCTGCATGCGTGGGCACGAACAGCCCCTCTGCCAGGACCCAGCGCATCTGCATTTCTATCCATTACTCCATAAGCAGATTTTTTTTTTTTTTTTAAATACACAAGTACTTTAAGATTCTCTGGCACCACCACATGGAAAAACCATGAATTACTATTTCAAAAACTCAATGTCTAATTTTGCTACATGCCAACCTCATCGACATCAACCTGATGGGGAAAAAAGCACAACTGGTGAGCATTCTAGGGGAGGAAAACTTGGATTGAATTTCTACTGTCTGGGGGAGAGACAAGACCCCCATGGAACGTTAAGCCACGTGGCCAGCAAAAACCGCCACTGTGAGCAGTGAGGTGCCCACAGGGAGACATTGTTTGCCCTGATAATGCTTAGCTGGACACCCCTCCCCCCCATTTAGGAGAAAGTGAAGTGGGTCATATACACTTATTTTCTTGAATTTAATAAAAGATCATTCATGTTTTCAATACAAGGTTTTGATAAACAGAACAAAAACAGGGTAAGGCTTAAAGAACTATGAAACTAAAGGCCTAGCCCTCCCCTCCCCAGATGTTTTAAATTAAGAAATATTCATACATACTTAAGAATGTACCTGGCACCCACGTCAGACACGTGGGCAAGTGATAAAGAAGCGTGCATGCGCCCGTCCCAGCTGAAGGGAAGGAACATGGCTGGTGTCTCTGGAGCCCCCGGTGCCCTCCCTGGTCTTTGCAGGGTTCACGAGCGTTGGGGGCTCGGCGCACACAGGCCCTCATCCAATTCCATTCCTTCCATCACACACAGAATGAATGAACAGGATGCTGTTCAAAACAATGCCCTGTGCCTTCTGAGGGGGGAATGCGGGCAGGTGTCCTTCAAGGTCAGAAACCTCACCAGTTTTTTCTCGGAGAGCAATTCCTTCCTGGGGGGTTCCTGGTGCTTGGCGCGGTCCGCACAGCTGGCTGAGAGCAGCCTGGGAGGAGCGGGCCACAGGCGGACCCGAGTCCGGCGCCCCACGACCCCCAGCACCATCCACGGTCCTACTGAGAGAAGCCTTGAAGGCACCATGGCTCCCTAACAAAAATCAAATTGGCAAAATCAGACACTTGGTTTAAACCTGCAGTCAAACAGAAACTGAAGGACAGGGCCCGTGCACAGCACTGTCTAGGTGTGGCTGTGAAACCTACAAACGGACCGATGGCCAGGACTTCCTTCCGGCACTCACCACTTTCAGCTCCGAGCCAGCAAGGCTCACCTGCCCTCGTCGGCCTCTGTGTCACTTGGGCGCAAGATGTGTGTAAAGAGAACTTAAAACCGTTAAATTCCTCTATCACTGGATATGCTCTTCTGTGGCTTTTCAAATATCTGATCGATGAAAACATTAACAAGAAAATCTGAGCCTCCAATAAAAATTTCTTAAAACACCCAGTTACTCAAATGTTAATGGGTTAGTTTGTGCCATTTAAAACTAGTCTAACTGGAAGGCGGTGAGAATACTGAGAATGGAGTGTGGTGGTTATGCCCCCTTTGCCCCTCGTCCCGTGTGAGCCAGGGGGCACCCTTCCATGTGCGGCCCCACTCTGTGTGGCCGTCAAAGGGACAGGGCTGGGAGGACAGGGCCAGTTAATCCCCATGAACAGGCTGCCCGTGTGCGTGCTGACTGAATGTGAGCTACTTCTCCTTAACTAGGAGTCGCTCACACCGTCACCTGTTCATTCAACAGCCCGTAACAGCTACACATCCTGCAGGCGCCAAGGGCAGACGGGAGGCAGTCTGGGACCTGGCCCTCCAGGGGGGTGGCAGCCCCTTCTCCCTTTGCTGTGAGCGCCTCATACCCACCCACTCTCAGATGCCCCTGTGTGGGCACACGTGTGCCCCATAAAAGGAAACCAGGTAGGCTTTCCTCCCATTTCTAAGTATGAAATGTATATGCAGGTAGGAATATAAATGTATATGTAATGTTTAAAATATCATTATAAAGCCACCATGTGTGTAACACAGCAGGAGAAAAAACAGAATTTGCTTTTTCCTTAGAAGCCCATCATGTGTGTTTCTGCTCCACATCCTGTGCCCCGCCTGGAAGGGAAACACATCCTTGGTGGGAATTTTTCTCTTAGCAAGGCACTAAAAAGTTGCCCTTCTCATTTGGAAACAGCCACAGTTATGGAAAAGCGGGAGTACGGGGTGAAGGACTCTTTTCTTCCCGAATCACCTGCGGGGAAGCTGCCAACCTGACTCCCCGCGCCCCACCCCAGAACACCCCACGTGTGCTCCCCACGCCCAAGGGTGTCCCCTATGGAGCAGCCGGGCGACCTCTGCAAGCAGGCCGCCAGCCATGCTCACAGCCCCTCCGCGTGGTTCTTCAGCCTCCTTAGCCTGGAAGATTCTTCAGCCTTTCCTTGGCTCTCGTGCCCGTGACACATGCAAGGCCACAGGCCAGGCGTCTTGTAGCACATCTGTGTCCCCATTTGACTGATGTCCCCTCCCCTCGTGACAAGAATGTCCCACAGCCCCGCAGAGGCTGGGTTTCCTTGGTCCCTTCCTGATGCTCTGAGCTCCAGCCCTCGGGGGTCCCTGCTGGTTTCCCCCTTCCCCCTAAGCTTCCCGTTTATTCATTCCCATGGGCTTGTGGTTCTTACTTTATTCAGTGAGCCCCACTCTGTTACTTATTTTTGATGTTCAAGTGGTCTCCAGTTTGGCCAACGGCAGCCCATCAATCTCAGAGCATTTCCCTGCTTTGTGACACAAAATGTTCTGGGCTCACTTTGTACTCTCCCCAGGTGACCCTGAGATCAGCCTTTACTCAAGAAGCCCTAGTTGCTTTGGGTGGAGAATGGGATTCAGAAGCCCCTCTATGTGCTGGGCATGCTCCGGCCTCTTGGGGTGTCGCTGCTCGCAGGCTCAGCGGGGACCTGGAGAGCAGACAAAGGTACACACACCCACACACAATATTCACCCCCACAGTCACTGCTACGCCCATCCACCCACAGCTAGAGAGCAGCATCTGTCGAAAACCATGAGTTCATACCTATGTGCCCAATTCCACACCACAGGATTCATGCTAATTTTCTCTGTCTTTTTTTTTTTTTTTAAAGATTTTTATTGATTTATTTGACAGAGAGAGACACAGCGAGAGAGGGAACACAAGCAGGGGGAGTAGAAGAGGGAGAAGCAGGCTTCCTGCAGAGCAGGGAGCCCGATGCGAGGCTCGATCCCAGGACCCTGGGATTATGACCTGAGCCGAAGGCAGACGCCTAACGACTGAGCCACCCAGGCGCCCCTAATTTTCTCTGTCTTAACAACCCCATTCTGACTGCCAGAATCCTGGCTTCCAACATCTTCAACATGTTTGTTTATTGGCTCAGTCCCCACAGTAGCCAAACCTTCCTCCACACAGGTGCTCTCCTCCCACCGCCATGCTGGCTGCCCCTCCGTGGGAAAACCCTCCTGTTACCTTTCTGTAAACGTATTGTTTTAAAGTAAACTTTTATTTGGGAATTATTTTTTTATTTTTGAGAGAGAGTGAGTGAGTGAGAGACAGAGGGTGCAAGCATGTGCATGCGTGCAAGGGTGGGGCAGAGGGAGAGAATCCCAAGCAGGTGCCATGTCCAGCGTGGAGCCTGACGCAGGACTTGATCTCAAGACCCCAAGGTCATGACCTGAGCCAAAACCAAGAGTCGGATGCTAACCCAACTGAGCCACCCAGGCGCCTCTATTTGGTAATGACTTTAGATTTACAAAAAAAGTGAAAGATATTCCCATATACCTCTTATCCAGTTTCCCCTAATATCAGCATCTTACATGACCTGGGTACGTTTGTCAAAACTAAAAAACCAGCTTTGATACTTTCATTAAACTCCAGATGGCGTTTGAATTTCATCAGTCTCCCCACTAACATCTCTTTCTCTTTTCCAGAGCCAGATCCAGGATCCCACATTGCATTAAGCCATCCTGGAATGCTGTCTTTAATCTCCTGAAAGAGCCCTGCACCCAGCATCACACACCCAGGGAGAATACCCTTCAGGAAGGGAGGTGAAACATGACAAGCTCACCAATCTACTGGCTCTACAAGAAATGCTCGAGAGGGGCGCCTGGGTGGCTCAGTCGTTAGGTGTCTGCCTTCGGCTCAGGTCATGATCCCGGGGTCCTGGGATCGAGCCCCGCATC